CAAAAACATACCAAACACAAAATTTGGCCACTCAATGGCCATTTTGCCTAATATGGCCAAAATACACAATTAACACTACAAGCACTATTTAGCCTCTATTGCCACATAATACCCTACAAATACATTGTTACCACATAGATAAAATATTTCTTACACTTGTATTAGTATTTTAGCCCATCACTATAAAAATTATCACATATTCACCTCATATACAATATTGGGCTAAAATATAGTATGAAACAAGTGCAACCAATCAAAATGATATGCATTCCTAGTTGGCAACATATAATATCATATAATAAGTTTTTGTACACCACTCAAATCAAAATCGGGCATTACCATTTGATGTAGCAAATATGCTAGCCCTTGCTCAATTCCCTTCCTGGCTTAGTCTCATTGGTAGCACCTATAAAATGATAACAACGGGGTGAGATAAAAATTTCAGTAACTAAGATAATCTATATTATTGATTAACAAGACAAGTTATAAACAAGTATTAAAATAAGTAACATAATCACATCATGTAAGATCACCATAAATTACATGCATGATCCCTAACCATCCAGTCCTCCAATACTCCTGACCAAACCAATAGGCTATTTTACAGAACCAAATCACATGTATGTCCCAAGCTCACCATCTATGGTAGGACTACCCGACCAAGGTGTCCTAAACTACTTTTGGACTACTGTTTTCCCTATTACAAGTAATTGGGGTGTCATTACTCCAACAGTGCATCCTACGGATGCTAAGGAGTATAATCTCCAACTCCACACCCTTTTGGGTAGTAAGGAGAGTAAGTCTCCAACACCACACCCATTTTCGAGCACTAAGGAGAGTAAGTATTGCACCTGGCGTTCTGAGGTGCTAGCAATGCCATATGGACTTAATCTTTACTATCTCCACTAAGGTGACCTCCCACCCTCTAGTATGCCACATTTCATTACATATCTCCACTTGACCATGCATAAACAACTTTCCAAACTAATATAACAAATCTTACCATTTACTTTAAAAATATAAAATTTCACAAACCAATACTCCACTCATTTTCTAAAATAGTTAACCTTTAAAGAATTTATACATATATACTCAACAAATCATTGAAAAGCACTTGAGAATAACTTATACTAAGTAATAAACAATACAAATTATCTAGTTACCTCAACCCTCTTATTACTAAAAGGCTTACCCGTGGTACTAATTCTCTTCTTGTATCAAGGTAAGTCTTCCCACACCACAATCTATATCAACAAGTACTATATGTTAATTTTCAATTAACACAAACACTATTAACTACCAATAGCCTCCCAATGCTCCCACTTCTCACTCAAAATCTCAACAAATAGGCTTGTCAAGATTACAATTTGTTCACACAATCCCTTTAAGCCTCCTTCTAATCTATCACAATATAAAACTTAATATATTAACTTATCACTCTTCAACACCCTATAATCAAGTTAATACTTGATCTAAAATTCACCAAACAAGAAAGTAGCTTCCCATTACCACATATCCAAGATCAAAAAGCCAAAATAAAACCTTTAAAATTAATAGAAACCTTCAAAACATTGACTTATGGCTTAATCCAATCAGACCAAATTCTCACTCTTCCAAATCCCATGGAAAATGAGATGAAAAAGTAGAGGAAAAGGGTAGAAAACTTACTCAAGAGTTTGAAGGCTTAAATCATCTTCAAAATCCTCCCAAATTGATACCCTAGCAGTGCCCAAAGTTGCCCCCTTTGTGTTTAGGTGTTCCACCCCAAAATCTTTCAATTTCTGATGATTTTCAAAATTTTAAGTTGCCTGCTAGGCCATGCACCGCAGCGCACGCTAGGCAAGCTGCGGCTTATGACGCAATGAGCAATAAGTTGATTTTGCTCCCCCCAATACCTCCCGACTTGATCCAACTTTTATCTTATCTCAATTTAGAGCCAAATATGACCCAAAAATCTAATTAGCCACCCAAAAACATAATTAAATAAATTAATTATATTTTTAACTAATTTATCCCTTAATTAATCAACTTTTCTAGATTTAAAGTTTTAGGATGTTACACATGGACGGAACCCTAATCAGTGTTATAGCCCGTGGTTTCAGTTTGAGGATATAAGGTTAGTTGATCATTGCCTAAGTAAATTTATGACGTGTCACATGTGTTAAGTAGTGCAAGTTGCATGAGTATGGGTCATGTCACATATCTGAGAATATGGTGACAATGCACCTAGTTATGAGAATTAAAGAAGTCATTTAATGATAATTGACAAGTTATGTTATATGCAAGCTTATTTTACATACTTAATTTCCTTACGTATGTATTTGATTTATAATTGATATATAACTGTATAGGGTAAGTTTAACCATTTTTACTGAGTGGCTAGACACACCCTTTTCATTTAACATTTTTCAAGCTCTAGCTCTAGTATTAAGAGGGAGAATACTAAAGAGTTAGGGAATTAGCACATTCCTTTTTGTATGCCTCTAGTTTAGATTTAATTGTGTAATAGCATATGACTTGCCAATTCTAGGATGCATGCCATTACACTTGCACTATTTTGGTTGTTAGAAATGTGAAATTTGTATTTTGAGCCCTTAGTCTTTATGTATATTGATTTATATATGTTTATAAGGCCAAAATACTAGTGTAAGTGTAGAAATAATGATTTGAACTTGTTGTGAATGATTTGGGCAAGATGCAATAACAAATTATCTCCCCTTCTGTTTTTGGTAAAATGGGGTTAATAAGTGAATTTTTATTATACTAATGTTTTAGTACTGTGACGTGTTATACTGGTAGTATTAGGTCTACTAGACATGGTCCAGGTGATAAGGAAAAGCTTTTGGCAATTGTTGAAGGTTTTAAACACCCATTTTGCGTAAAAGTATTGAAATGTGGTTTAAATGTGTTTAGATATTCAACTTCCTAGTATGACATGTTTTGGAAGTGAAACTTGTGTAATTAGCTAGTTCTTATAAAGAGCTTTCTGTAGACACCTAGATCATGTCATTCGAATATCGGACGGAGAATCAGGGCAAGTCAGAAGTTCCTCAATTCTACTATTAAATGACAGCAGAATCAACAAAAATTTCGTGCAACATGCCGCGGCGCAGCATGGATGAGCCACAGTACATTGCCTTGTATCATAGCACAATGTTTTGTTTTTAACCATTTTCGACTTCTTTCACTTCTCTAAGGTATCCCATGCTTCCGTAACTTATTTTTACTCTGATATGAAAGATTTTGATTGATTTCAACTCATTTTATTTAGATAATGTGGGATCCCTTATTTTTAAATTAAACATTGGTAATCATCGTTTCAAGTTAAGTCTCGAATTTCCAGGTTTTATATTGGTTAATTATGATTAGTGGAGTGTGAATGCTTCAACTTAGTATCAATTTCTGTAGTTCTGAGAACTAGTCTATGGTATATGTAAAATTATGGTTAAGATTTGTTGTGCATTTCATATAGAGAATTGGCAATATCTTATTACACTTGTTATTTCCCCCACTAAGCTAGTGCTAACTCCCTTTTTCCTTTTTAGGATTGCTTCCATCCTTAGGAGGGGAGAACATGGTGTAAACAAGAGCCACAAATGAAGGAAATGCATTAGAGAATGTGCAAAGACCAGAACAAGAACCGGTGAATCAAGAGCAATAACCAAGACCTTAATAGGGTAATAAAGACAATGCCCTAGATGAACTAAGGCGTATGATGATGGACATCTAGAGAAGAATGGATGGTTATGACGAGATCCTTAGAAGAAGACCTGGGGAGAGTAGCAGGACAGTTGAGAGAGTTAGGGGGTGTTTGGATGGGGGGAAGGGAGGGGAAATTGGTTAAAAATTTCCCCTACCCTCCCCTCCAAATTAGGGGGAGCTCCCCTCCCCTTCCCTTCCTTCCCTTCCCCTCCCCTCCCCTCCCCTCCCCTTGAACCAAACAGATCCATAGGTTTACCAAGGGGAAACCCAGAATGATGTGCACGCTAAGGTGCATGGACATAAAGATGAAGAGTACTATGAGGAAAGCATTCCTGAGAGGCCAGTGCAACTAGTATGGCCTAGGATGAGTGAATTTTAAGGCTTCATTGATATGGCTTTGAAGCAATTCACGAGGTTGAATCTTCCTTCCTTTGAAGATTCTATGAAGGATCAACCAGCTGAGAAGTAGATCGACAGGCTTGAAACAATCTTCTCAGTCATGACATGTATGACTAAGTAGACAGTTCTCTTAGCTACTTTCATACTTAAGGATGCAGCAAAGCAATGGTGGCAAAGTGTGAGGCCGGTAAATGGCTCGCAGTTGACATGGATAGAGTTCAAGGGGCAGTTCTTCACCTACTACTTACTAGCCTCATTTCAAGCAGAGAAAGAGGCAAAATTTCACAGAATTCAGTAGGGAAATATGAATTAGGAGGAGTTTATAGCAAAGTTTAATGAGCTATCTAAGTACTCCACCCATCTTAGTCATCATGATGACAAGCATTGGAAGGCCGAGCAATTTCTTGATAAGATGAGGCCTAAATTCAACCAGCAGTTAGCTAACTTTGACATTACTTCCTTTGAGTTATAGCCAAAAGGAGTAGAGTAGTAGAAGAGAAGAAGAGAGATGGTCAAGGGAGAATCTCTTCCTATACAGGCCCTATGGGCAAAGTAAGTAAGAAGTGGGTTTTAACCCGAGTATGTTTGAGAGGTACAATGTTAGAGGAAGCAAGAAGAGAGCTTCTAGAAGGGGTCCCAAACTAGGGGATCCAACTAGAGGAGCAATGTCCTAAGGAGTATGGGTAGGGTCAGAAATCAAACTTCCCAGCAGGGATCTACAACTCCATCTGCTATAATGCCAACTAGAGCTCCGTAGTGCAATAGATGTAAGAAACATCACTAAAGGGCAATGTTAGATTTGCTTCAAATGCAACAAGGTAGGACACATAGCTAAGTTTTTCGTGGAAAACATACCTTCTTCTGTTTAGAGATCCACTATCCCAGGACGAGTCTTCGCCATGACCAGAGAAGAGGCTGAGGCTTCACCAAAGCTGATTAAAGATAAAATCTTACTTTGTGGTCACCAGATAGATGCTTTGTTTGATTTTGGTGTTATGCACTCTTTTATATCTAATAAGTGTGCTAAGAGGCTAAAGTTGCATGTGCTTGAAATGTCATTTTCCATAAATGTGTCTACGCCGGTTGGTGCATCTGTGAAGACCAGTCGGGCTTGTTTGAAACTAGAGTTGAAGTTTAGTGATAGAGTCATCGTTATTGACTTAATTTGCTTACCTTTGAGTGGCATTAATGTGATAATATGGATGGATTGGTTGTCTGCCAATGGTGCAACACTTGACTATAATAGAAAGATAGTCTCCTTATCAATTTACATATCAACAGCTATTAACCCTGAACCTATCAAGTCATTATCAGTAGTGGACAATAAGACTCCAAAGTTCTTGTTAGCCCTACAAGTAGAGAAGTCAATGAAAGAGGGTTGTCAAGCTTTTATGATCTGCTATTCTACACATGAAGTGTATGACGGAGGAATTGATAGAATTCGTGTAGTGAATGAGTTCCTAGAGGTATTTGATGACTGAATGTCAGGATTGCCACCAGAAAGAGAGATTGAATTCTTGATTGATTTAGTACTCGGTATCGAGCCAATCTCTAAGGCTCCGTGTAAGCTCCTTGAGGTTAAACCACAATTAACTCTAAATCATGGTAATCCAAGGTTCTACCCTCAAGGATTACCAAACCGAGGTTTTTAAAAGAGAATTTCTCAAAAATCTTTCATGGGAATCCTTATCTCGACAGTTCAAATCTCAAACAAGATTTAATGACTCCAAATCAAAGTTTTGAAAATAAAGCGGAAGCTTGAAAGTCAATTGGGACCCATAATAATGAGTTTTCAGACTTAAATCAGATTTTAATGTAGAAATTGACACGTGTGTTGCAGCTTACAGCTCGTATGCGCCGGCGTGTCTTCTCTGTGCCATGGCCATGGCGTGAGGTGCCATATGCCATGGTACATTGCACGAAATTTGATAGATTAGTGTTGTCATATGACAGCATAAAGAGCAAAATTCCAACGCATCCCAAATCTCCATTCGACGTTCGATTGAGGTGGTTTTGGTGTCTACACAAAGCTTTCTCCTAGCTCTAGCTAACCGGTTTCACACTTAAATTTATTTTTTATAAAAAGTTGGATATCAAAACCTATATTAACCACATTTTCACAAAATCTCCTAATTGAAGTGTCCCAACTCAACCACACGTGCCAATAGCTTGTACCAACCCTCCAACCACACTCAATGGACTCTTGCAGACTTATGTAACACACCACACACAACCAAAAATGCTTATTTCATGAAATCACCACTCAACCTCAATTTTTACAAAACATAAAAAAGGGAGGAAATATTGCACAAAGTTAACCATTTCATTTCAAATTACTCAGAATACATATGTTTCTACTTGCATAAGTATTTTGGCTCTAACCAGGGGTTCACAACTAAAACTCACTAGTCCAGGGCACAAGATACACTAGTTGTACATAAAATCATGCAAGTAGTGCATAAATTATATCAATTACTCCTAGTTGGCAATTACATTAACAAATACACATGAAAGTTATGAAAGAGAGGCATATAGAGGATTACTCCACAAATCCCAAGTCTCTGTATGTTTTTCTCAACTCAGATCTAATGAGCTAATTCCTAAAAATATTGAGAATTAAGGGATGAGTACAATCACTTAGTAACTAAGTTTCACTTAACCCATATAGTTACATATTAATTGTAAATAGATGCAATTTTGGCACACAAGCACATATTTCACATAATACTAGGCCATGGTTCATAAAAACTAACAACCATTGACCGAGCTTGTCACAAACCACCATATCATATTATTTCACAAAAACATGACATTAGGTCACAAAAATAATAACCATACGCCTTCAACACATGCCGAACCACAAAACTAACAACTATGTAGCTGGACTTATATGCGTGATCATATGCCGACCTTATATCCTCCTGTTACCTTGATAGGAAATTAGTCGCTTATCCTCAAAATTACACTAAAGCTAACCCTAATGCAATATAGGGCCAACCCTAGGTCATCTCCCAAGGAATGGTTTTAAGTCTAATTGAAAGTTATCTAGTGAAATAAATCAACCAAAGTTTGTAGGAATTTAGTTATCTATCTAATTATCTAAACTAATTACCTAATATGCAAGTAATTAAAATGCTAGTGAAAGTGAGTGAAATGAACTTCCCTTTTTACAATAATGGAACCCTAGAGATTAGTTGATTTTGGACTCATTATCTTCTCATGATTAGGCTAAGTTTAGCTTCCCTTTCCTCTTGACTAAAGCTGTCATGACTTAAGAAAATTATCCTAAGCCAATTAACCTAATTAGCTAACCTCCCTAGGTCTTAGATTAAAGTCCCTAGTTCAATTAACCAATTGGTGAAGACATTAGCCAAGTGATTCATTCAAAATCCTCTCTCAACAGCCATGGTCAAACACATAAATTGAGCAACCACAAGATTATGTCAAGCTACTCAATAACACAAGCATTAACACCACAAGATTATGCAATATTAACACAAGACATTCACTAATTTAAAAACACAAGATTATGTGCCAAACAAAGAGTGGCAAAATTCAGTCATGGCTGTCCAAGGAAGAAATTAAATGAAACAATCCTCTCTCTTTACATCAACATCAAATTCAAATTAGAATTTATAAGCTAAGATGATTAGACCCTAGATTAAGGAATCTAACCATCTAGTAAAAAGAGAAGAGGATAGGAAACAAAAGAACTTAGCCAATTTGAAGCTCAAGACTCATCCTCCATCTTCATCTCTCTAGGATTCCACAAAGAAACTTAGCCAATCTTCATTTTCAAGAACCCTAGTGATTGCTTGTGAAGGCCAAACTCCATAGCTCTTGAATGATGGAAATGAGCTTCAATCCTTGTGAAAATGGAAGGGATGGAACGAAAATGAAGAGAGGAGAAGAATGGTATGAGTTTTGTAGAGGTTTGGTGGCTGAAAATGGAGGTTAGGGTGCTGGAAAATGAAGAACAAAAGAGAGAAAATGAAGAACACTATGAACAAGAGAGAGAGAATGTGGAAGATGAATGAGATATGTGTTGGATCCCATTTGAGACTTAAAATGGCGTACTCCTTGGTGTCTCCCATCAGCTGAAGCTTAATTAAAATAAGGAAAAAGAAATTAAAATGTAAATGGGAGCCTTGTCACACTTGCAAGGTGGCAACTTCCTATTGGTTTGTAGATGATTCCAATGTGTGCCTAATTTTCCATGTGTCATCCACATCATTTTAGCTGATCTAATCCCTCAAAATAATCATAATTCACGTGCAAACCATCAACCATTGTCCTCAAGGAGTGTTGACCTCAATTGCCCAATTGATGCACAAGTCACATGCCACCTATGTCACATAAATCACATAATTCAATTAAATAGCATATGATATAATAAAATCTAATTCATGTCCAGAATTAAATTCATAATTAGAAGGGAGAATTTATTAAATTAACCAAGTTTTAGGCTGCACAAAATTATATAAAATTTTTTACACAAATGCAAACCAAAAACTAGGACAAACTAAGACACTCAAGAAAGTGTTGACTTTTTTATTTAATTACTCCCAAACTAAAATGAATTTTAAAAATATAATTTCACCATTCATCAACTGGACATAAAATGCACTTTGTCAATTTTTCTTGTACATTTTCTCAAAAGTTCATTTTTTGGACCAAAATGCCCCTAGTGCATTGATATTAGAAACTTAGGCAAAGTTCCAAATCTAATGCAATGTGTGCACTTGAAGGTGATAAATCATTAATAAAATGGTCCTAATTGACAAATAAAAGTGGGTAACAAATGTGTTCTATCATACCTCTGACACAAAATCGATGGCTATCACGTGGCTATGTCCTTCATGGACTAGCCCAGCCTTTCACTTGTGATGAGTTACCAGGCTAGGGTGAACTCACTCACTTGTGTAATCTGGTTTCCCCTAATATTAACAACCATGGGGTGTCGTACCCCTAATTTAGCCTCCTCACGAATTGATGGAGACTAGTTAGGTTCAAGTCTCTTATGGAATAAGTGGGACAGTCCCAAATTAACTATGAGACAAGGGCTACCCCCCGATTCCAGCGGTTGGTGCCATGGCTAGTTCCCAATTCCAACAGTCACTGCCAATACCACATGGATTTCAACCAATTTACTCCTCTTCCTAGGTGAACTCCCACCAATGATCATGCTATGCACATGTTTCACATAATATGCATTTTCACAATTGATTAATAACACATGAACTCGCATAACTCATTACTCCATAATTTAACACATAATATAACACAATTCTCCACCCATAGTAATAAATCACAATCAATCTTGCAAAACATAAAGGGTAGTAGAATCAAGGTTTTCTTTCCTAAAAACCATTTTACTAATCAAGTAATTGCCAACATGCATCATTATTTTAACCCATAAATCACATTTCACAAACATAATTAACATTTAACTATAAAAATTAAGTTTCTCTCGGTTACCTCAAACCTTTGAGAGGTCAAAGGTGTACCCCTCACAATATCAACTTCTCAAAGCTTCAACAAGCTTGAGTGGTGCCAAAACAAACCTCTATACATTCAAACCACAAGAACATCATCATGGTCTAACACTTGAAACTTTATCAACATAAAACTCCACATACACTACTTTACCATTTCATAATCACTACTCACTCATAGCCAATGGGCTTTTTAAATTTCATTAATGCTCCTTATCATTAATAACACCTCAAACCATCATTAATGCATATTAACCTCTCCCAACTACTATATTTATAACAATTTTGGATAGTAAATGCTCCCATAAGTCATCTGCTTCCATCAATGCAGTGTTCCAATACATTAAACAACTCCCATTAATCTCATTTTAACTAATGGAATTAGACCCATACACTTATGGACATAAAACCCATCTCCTAACACAAACCCTACCATAAATCATTGCAAATGAGGGAGAGAAAGGAAGAAGAAGGCATCATAATCTTACCTTGGGTCTTTAAGAGCTTCAATCTAGCAACAATAGATCTAAATGTCGTCCCTAGCAAAGCTAAAACTGAACTCTTCATTTTCTTCCTCTTTTTCTCTTTCGTTTTCACATAGTTCATGAACTGATTTATCTGATTTTTGGCCGTGTGTCACGGCGCATGATGCCTTTCATCACAACATATGGTACGGAGGAGCCCATTATGTTTAAATTGTCTTTATGCACCATGGCAGACCAACCACACACTGCGGTGTGTGGCACATAAAATAATTCTTCACTTTTTTATCCTCTTTCCTTACCCGGGTAGCCCACCATTGATCCAGACCTACTTTTAGGGCTAAAATCACATCAATTAGGCCAAGTTAAGCCCCTCTAACCACACACCTCATTAATTCACTAATTATCCTTACTAGGTTAATAAATCAGGTTAAAAATTTTTGGATGTTACAACTCTCCCTTCCTTTTAAGAATGTTGTCCTCAAAATTCAGTAAATCAAGTAAATCTTACGTCATTGAAAAAGATAGGGATATTGTTGCCTCATTTTCTCCTCCGTTTTCTAAGTGGCATCACCGGGAGTCATTCCCTTCCATATTACTTTTACTAAGCAGATAGTTTTATTTCTAAACTGTTTATCTTTCACATCAGCTATTCTTTCCGGCTCAGTCCGATAAGTCAAATTCTCCCATAGCTCCACTTCTTCTGGTTCAATAATGTGAGATGGATTAGGTTGGTACTTCTTGAGTTGTGAGACATAAAACACGTCATGTACACCCGATAAATATGGGGGTAATGTAATACAATACGCCATAAGCCCAATTCTCTCTAGAATTTCAAATGGACTAATGTATATAGGAGTCAACTTCTTGGCTCGAATAGACCTCCCAATACCAGTCATAGGCGATACCTTCAAAAATACATAATCTCTGACCATAAATTCTAGTGGTCTCCTTCTCTTATCCACATAACTCTTCTGCCAACTTTAGGTAATCAATAATTTCTGTCAAACTACCTCTATCTTCTCTATGGTTTGATCTACTAAATTTGGACCCAAAACACTTCTCTTACTTAACTTAATCCAGTAGAGAGGCGATCGACACTTTCAACTATACAAAGTTTCATATAGAGCCATCTGAATACTTGCATGAAAGCTATTGTTATAAGAAAACTCTGCAAGTGGTAAGTGTTTATCCCAACTTTCACTAAACTCAATAGCACACGCTCGCAACATATCCTCAAGAGTTTGAATCATTCTCTTAATCTAACCATCAATCTGTGGGTGATAGGTTGTACTAAACTTCAATTTAGTACCCATAGCTTGGTGTAAAGCTCTGTATAAGTTCAATATGAACCTCGGATCGCGATCTAACACAATCTCTTTTGGCACCCATGCAACTGTACTATCTCTTGAACATAAACCTCCACAAATATCTCTAAGATATAGTCTACTCTAATGGCTAGGAAGTGAGTTGACTTAGTCAGTCTATCCACAATCACCTATATAGCATCATGACTAGCTTGAGTACGAGGCAATCCTATTATGAAATCTATAGACACACTATCCTATTTCTATATTGGGATTTCCAAGGGTTGTAACAGCCCAAGTGGCTTCTAGTGTTCTATCTTGACTTTCTAACATGTCAAACACCTAAAAACAAACTTAGTCACATCTCGTTTCATTCTGTGCCACCACCACCACTTCTTTATATCTTAGTACATCTTAGTGGCACCAGGGTGGATTGTTAGCTTACTCTTGTGAGCTTTTGATAGTATAGTCTCTCTAATCTCCTTATCATCAGGAACACACATGGTCATGATACAACACAAAACCATCATCACTGAAACCAAAAGTCATCGTTCAGTTCTCCTTAATGTCCTCCCAGATCTCTAATAAATACTCGTCTTCTAATTGTGCTTTTCTCAATTCTTTCCAAAACTCACTTGTAATCACCGTGACATTTAAGTTGTATAACACGAAATCAGGAACATTCTTGTACTCATTAAAGAAATCCTCTAGCATCTTGTGCTCCCGCATCATCAAGAATGCTACATGTAGCATCTTCCGGCTCAACGCATCAACTACTACATTAGCCTTGCTAGGATAGTACTTTAACTTAAAACTATAGCCCTTCAAGAACTCTATCCATCTTCACTACCTCATATTTAACTCTTTCTAATCAACTAGATGTTTGAGGCTTTTGTGGTCACTATATACTTCAAACTATGCACTATAAAGGTAATGTCTCCATATTTTAAGCATAAACACTACTGTTGCAAGCTCAAGATCATGGGTAGGATACTTCTCCTTATGTGCTCTTAACTATCTCGAAGCAAATGCCATAACTCTGTCATCTTACATTAACACACATCTAAGACCCATAAGTGAAGCATCCGCATAAACCACAAATGGCAATTTCAAATCTGGAATAGTCAAGACAAGTGCAGTCGTCAATCTCTGCTTTAGCTCTTAGAAAGCCTCTTCACACTTGTCAATCCACATGAAGGATAATCTTTCTTAGTCAATTTGGTCAAAGCAAATGCAATATAAGAAAATCCCTAAATAAACCTTTAATAATATCCTACTAGACCTAAGAAACTTTAGATATCTATCATAGAAGTCAGTCTTTCCCATTGTAAAACCACATTCACCTTATAAGGATCAACTGCAATACCACTGGCCGACACACACTACATGGCCTAAAAACTTCACCTCACGCAACCAGAACTCACATTTACTTAGCTTTGCATAAAGCTTCTTCTCTTTCAAAATTTGCAACATTATCCACAAGTGCTTAGCATTTTCTTCCTCATCAACCGAATATATTAAGATATCATTAATGAAGACCACTTCAAACTTGTCCAAGTAGGGCCTAAAGATTCAATTCATATAATCTATAAAGATTATGGGTACATTCGTCAGTCTGAAGGGCATAACAAGAAACTCATAATGCCCGTATCTTATTTTGAAAGAAAGTCTCTAGTATATCATCCATTTTCACTCTCAACTAGTGATAGTTGAATCTCAAGTCAATCTTAGAGAATACTGTTGCTCCAGCCAACTGATCCAACAAGTCATCAATTCAGGGTAACGAGTACTTATTCTTAATTGTCACCTTATTTAGCTATCGGTAGTCTATACACAATCTCAAGCTACCATCTTTCTTCCTGACAAATAGAACAGGTGAACTCCAAGGTGAAACACTAGGTCTAATCAACCCCTTCTCCAATAACTCCTTTAGCTGCTTCTTAAGCTCATTCAATTCTATTGAAGCCATCCGATACGGAGCCTTAGAGATTGGCTCGGTACCGGGTACCAAGTCGATGGAGAACTCAATATCTCTCTCTGGTGGCAATCCTGATACTTCATCTGCAAATACCTTGAGAAATTCATTGACAACTCCAATATTATCTATTGCTGTATCATACACTCCATGTTTTGATCAAAACACCATAAAATCTTGACATCCCTCTTTCACTAAATTCTCCATTTGTACTGCTGATAGGAACTAAGGAACCTTTGAAGTAGTAATAGGTATAGGCGGTGTAGTCCTATCATTCGTTGTAGTTGTTGTGTACACTGGTAATGAAACTATCTTTCTATTATAGTCTAACGTTGCTTTATTAGTATACAACCAATCCATGCCAATTATCACGTCAATTTTCGACATGGGCAAACAAATCAAATTAATACTTGTGACTATTTCACTAAAAATTTCAACTTTACTTTCAAGCAAGCCCAACTGGTTCTCACTAAAGCACCAGCCGGTGTAGACACATTCATCATGAAAGGCATTTCAATAACATACAAACTCAATCTTTTTACATACTCATCGAAAACAAATGAGTGAGTGGCACCAGAGTCAAACAAAGTAAAAATTTGTTGATTGCTTAAAGAAATCATACCTCGGATAAGCTTTGGGGAAGCTTTAGCCTCTTCCCTCGTCATAGCAAACACACGACTAGGAATAGCAGACCTTTGATCGGTGTGAGGAGCATTCTTAGGGCAATACCGAGCAATGTGCCTAACCTTGTGGCACTTGAAACATGTCCAACACTCCCTAATATGATGTCTCCCATACTTGCTGCACTGTGGGGCTTTAATCAGTCCAGCTACCATAGAAGCAGAATCTTGTCTTGAAGCTTGACTTTGCCACCTATACTCTTGGGGGCATTACTCGTTATTTAGGAACCTCTAGAATAGGAACCCCTCTATAAGTTTATCTTCTTACTACCACTGCTGCCTAATCCAGATGGTTTAGATCTATATCCAACCCTTTTGCCAACACCTTAAGTAGGACCTGTATATATAGAGAAATAGCCCCTACCATCTCTCCTTTGGCTGTCATCAGCCTCACGACCTCACCTGGCCACTGCCCTTAACTTACTGCACATGTCACTATATCAGACAATATCGAAGGGTGCCAGCTGCTGTCTATAATCAGGCCACATCTTCTCAAGTAACTACTTAGCCTTCCAGTACTCATCATCATAGTTCCTCAGTAAGTTGAGTATTTAGACAACTCATTGACCTTAGCTATGAATTCTTCTTTGTTCATGTTCCCTTACTGCAATCGGTAGAACTTAGCCTCTTTCTCAACTCTAAAGGAGGCAACAAAATAATAAGAGAAGAATCTCCTCTTGAACTCATTCCATGTCAATGGAGACCTATCCACCGGTGTTACACTCTTCCACCACTGCTTGGCAACATCCTCAAGCAGTAATATAGCAAGTAATACCTGCTGCTCAGACGTGCAGGTCATAATAGAAAAGATTATCTCCAACCGATCTATCCACCTCTCAACCGCTCTGTTCTCCATGAAACCCTCAAATCATGAAGGATTCAACCTTATAAACTTCTTTAAGGCTAAATCAATAGAGCTCTCTTACTCTCTTCCTCTAAGCCTTACTAGTTCAGGCCTCCTCAGTCCACTCTCTCGTCATAATAATCCTCCTTTTGTTACTAAAGTATTTCCTTCTCTAGTCTTTCTCCACTATGACCGCCAACTCTTTCTACAGTCTTGCTTGACTCTTTTGGTCTTTTCTTTAGAATCTCATCATGCTCATCAATTCTCTATTCAATTCTTTCCATCATTCTCCTCAACTCGAGCAATATATTCTTATTGCCCGTTGTAGGTCTCAGTTGCTCTCTAGCGTGACCTGAACCTTGTCTTATTTCAACATGCTTACTAGGGACAATGTTCTCCTCTTGTACCAAGACTTCCCACACTTGTCTTGATACATTCACCAGAATGTTGCTGGCAGTATTTTTTGTTTGCACCATTCTCCCCTCCTAAGGATGGAAGTTATCCTATAAAAGGAAAATAGTTAACACTAGGTCAAAGGGGAAAAACATGTGTATAATGTCAATTGCCAACTTTCTATAAGCAAATGCATCATTCATAAACAAACTCTGACTTAATTCATAAATCCATGGTCCAGTTCTCAGAACTAGAGAAACTAATACCAAACTGTAACCTCCTTGAGGTTAAACCATAAATAACTCCAAATCATAGTAATCCAAGGTTTTAAAAAGAGAATTTCCCAAAACTATTTCAAAGGAATCCTAATTTGACAATTCAAATCCCAAAAATAATTTAAGGACTCCAAATTAGAGTTTTGAAAACAAAGCAGAAGCTTGGAAATCAATTAGGACCCAAATAATGAGTTTTAAAACTCAAAAATAAATTCTGTGTAGCAATGACATGTGCGCCGCGGCTTACAGCTGGTGCACTACATCGTGTCTTCTTTGTGCCATGCGCTGTAGCTTATTGCATGAAATTCCATCTGACGTTCGATTGAGGTAGTTTTGGTGTCTATAAGGAGCTTTCTCCTAGCTTTAGCTAATGGCATAGGTTTCACATTCAAACTCATTTTCTATAAAAAGTTGGACACTAAAAC